TTCGGCGCTACTGATTGGCCGGCGCGCTTCACGTGACCTCACATACGCAATGTCATCTGGGAGCCGTAGTTCTGTGTTAGCTTTGCGGTAATAGGTGCTGAGGGGGAGCGAACTACACGTGTCTCTGACTAGGCTTGTGTTGTGGGGCGCCATTTTCCTTCGGGTTGCAGCCCGTGTCGTGAAGTCTTGCTGACTCCTGAGGTGATTGGAACTCAAAGTAAATGAGGAAAATGTCACTTAGGTTAGATACACAGGGGGCTGAGTTGGGCCATAAGAAAGCCAATTGTTATGATTGTTGTTTGAATGTTTGAATTGAATGTTTCAGGTTGTGGAGATTAACCCTAAAAAGGTCCTACTCCAGCCATATTTTGTCTTAGTTTTTGGTAGTCTAGTAGAGAAGAGTTTAAAGCATAGTCCACCTTTCTGGCTATATGTCATGCTATACCCATATTTTGGGTGTGATATGAAACATGTTCACATTAACCAACCTCCACCAGAAACACCTGAATCAGTGGTGTTCTACAGTACGTGCGGTCCGCACCAGGTGACACTAAGGCCCCGTTCACATATAGCGAATTGTCGCGCAATTTCCGCCGCGATATCGCGCATTTTTGCCGCGCGATATCGCGAGAAGTCGCCGGCCAATGTTATTCAATGGAGCTGTCTTAACTCCATGTCGCTCGTCGCGGTCGCAAGTCGCTTCTACCGGACCCTTTTTCCGGCGGATTTTGCGCGATTTTACTTTTTTTCTATGGAGCCCGACGGGGAAGGTCGCGCTACCGTCGCTGGATCGTCGCTGGAACGTCGCCCCGAAAGTCGCGCTATCCCGGCCGTGCGGATCCGCTGCAAAAGGTATGTCGCTATATGTGAACGGGGCCTAAAATGACTCACAGTCATTTTGGCTTCACCCCCTCTGAAAAGCTGTACGAAAGAGGAGGGGACCCACCGGCATACCTTATCCCGCCAGCAGTTAAGTGCGTGTGATGTCATTACGCACGTGCTTGATGATGTCACATGCCTGCGTAATGATGTCACACGCCTGTATGATGACATCCCAGCGGGTGACACCTGTAGTCCCATCTGTTAACACGTCAGAACTCAATGGAGCATGAGTGCCATGACGTCACCCCACTTGTAGTAGAAAAAATAAATAGTAAAATAAAAGTTTGTTTATTGAATGTCGATTTCATATCAGTATGAAGAAGTGCATGCTGATGTGATTTTTAGTCAAAGGGGGTAAAGTTCTGCTCTAGGTCGGTAGCCCCACTGCGACGGTTGATTAAAAAAAGTCCCCTTAGTTCTTCTTTAACCCCTTCGTGACTGACGACGTACAGTGTACGTCGCCAGCATCGGGGCTGTTTAAACAGACTCCCGGCGACTTTTGCCGCCGGGACTCTGTTTAAACTTGTAGAGCCGACTGTCGGCTTTACAACAGAAGCGATCCTGGCGACTTACCTGTCGAGCATGTTGGGTATCGTTTTACTCGTTGTAACCTCATCTTTTATATTTCATTTAAAAAATGGGTAATTTGTTGTGTTTTGGGGCATTTAATTAAATTTGTCACTAAATTTTGGGGTTTAATAAGGAGTTGCGCTAATATTGCGCAACATAAAAATTTTCAACTACCACCATTTTATTCTATAGGGTCTTGGCATTCAGAAAATATATAATGTTGGGGGGTTTTACGTCATTTTCAGGCCTAAAATGTGGAATATAACATGGGTGCAAAAATGGAAAAAAGGGCCTCAGTCATGAAGGGGTTAAAGTGACAGGAACGTTTCTTTCTGCAAAAGAAGAGATAAAGGTGGCTCTATACTGCTCTGGGAGAACCACCAATATGTATTTATTTGTATGGACAAAGCACAGGGTAGCTTTAAAATGTGCACAAAACCAATATATACACAAAAGTAGCTTTTTGTTCCGTTGAGGAAGCATGATATAGATGGAAATGAAGCGATCCAAGGTTCCCTGTGATCAACTAACATTTGCTGGCTCAGCCTCAAAACGTCTTTGGAAATTATGTTGCAATCTTGGCAACTGTGCATATTATTTTGTCTTCTTGCCTAACTTTTTAAATATGGATATTTAAAGTAAACTTGTACAAAAAGATAATGTCACTCTAAAGTCATTGCTGTAAAGGAGGAACCATTCATTACCAGAGTATACGAGCAGAGTCACAGTAATATTTTCTAGGGGCTGGCGCAGCCTGGTACGCAGCCTGGTGACATATGTAGTCCAGATCTCACCAGGCTGCATCTAGATCTCACCAGGCTGCGTCCAGATCTCACCAGGCTGCGTCCAGATCCCACCAGGCTGCGTCCAGATCCCACCAGGCTGCGTCCAGATCCCACCAGGCTGCGTCCAGATCCCACCAGGCTGCGTCCAGATCCCACCAGGCTGCATCTAGATCCCACCAGGCTCCGTCCATATCTCACCAGGCTGCGTCCATATCTCACCAGGCTGCGTCCAGATCCCACCAGGCTGCGTCCAGATCTCACCAGGCTGCGTCCAGATCTCACCAGGCTGCGTCCAGATCCCACCTGGCTGCATCCAGATCTCACCAGGCTGCGTCCAGATCTCACTAGGCTGCGTCCGGATCTCACCAGGCTGCGTCCAGATCCCACCAGGCTGCGTCCAGATCCCACCAGGCAGCGTCCAGATCCCACCTGGCTGCATCCAGATCTCACCAGGCTGCGTCCGGATCTCACCAGGCTGCATCCAGATCTCACCTGGCTGCGTCCAGATCTCACCAGGCTACGTCCAGATCTCACCAGGCTGCGTCCAGATCTCACCTGGCTGCGTCCAGATCTCACCAGGCTGCGTCCAGATCTCACCAGGCTGCGTCCAGATCCCACCAGGCTGCGTCCAGATCCCACCAGGCTGCGTCCAGATCCGAACAGGCTGCGTCCAGATCCCACCAGGCTCCGTCCAGCTCCCACCAGGCTGCGTCCAAATCCCAACAGGCTGCACCCACCCCCATCCAAGAAGCCGCTGTCTGGCTGTTTAATTACAACGGGCGGACAGCAGGTGGTTAAAGGCACGTTTGGACTCTTTCACCTTTTGCATTGGCACCCTTTATTATTGAACATGGGGGTAAAGAGAGAGTTCTCAGACCTTTGCGAGCTCCAAGTTTCCACTTGAAGCTTACAAAAGGCTTCTTTTCACTCCAGAAAACATGGAAACAGCGGGGACAAGAAAAGGTAAGTATGTGTTGATGGAGAAACGGGAGAATTAGGTGAACTTGTTGCTTTTTCTTGCATAGGAAGCATTGAGCCCCATTCACACTTGCATTTTGGGCATTTGTTGCACACGTCAAGCGTTTTTGCACACATTTCAGGCTTGAGTGATTTGCTTTCATTTTTTCTTTAACCAATGAACAGCTAGTCACAAAAATGCTTGAGAAAACCAGTTTTTGTGCATTTTCAGGTGCTCCTATTGAAGTCTATTGGGTCCAAAATGCTCAACTCTGCTCCTTAAAGGAGAACTATGAGGTGAGTGAAGATCACTCAGCCTCATAGTTCGAGCCGAAGTGTGACAATGAAACTGTCACACGTCGGCTCAATAGATCGGGAAGTGAGCGAACACATACCCTTGCTCGCTCACTTCTCGATCCTGACCCTGCAGAGAGCAGTGATTGTCACGGCTACCTGCAGGGATTCACCCCCCCCCCTCCCCTGTCCGATCCTCCAGCGCTGACTGGCAGAACGGATGGGGGAGGGGGCGGGTACAGCTGGCTCTGCTTCTAGATAGGCAGAGCCAGCTGTCAATCACGCAGCTGGGTGGATCCAGACAGAAATGTCGGGATCCGTCCCGGCTGCGGCGGTCTCAGTATACCGCGAGCTACAGCTCACGGTATACTGAGCTTTGGGTCACGCTAGTTTGTGTCCTCCTGTGACCCTGGGGAAAACTATGGGGAAAAGCACTGACCCCATAGTTCTCCTTTAAGAAGCTTATGTACTTTTTCAAGTTGCAGGAGTTTTGCTACAAGTTACAGGGGCCACTTAAAACAATGGGATTGCTCCTGTTGAGAATTGTAGCGCTTAGGCATGCAAGCTACAAAACGCTCAGGTGTAAATGGGGCCTTATTGTCTGATTTTGGCTTTGCTCTTTTTCGACAATTGAGTAACTGTGGCTAAGAAAGAGTTAGTGTATATGTAACTGCAAAGTGGGACTTCCTTTATGCAGCCTTGTTAAAGTAAATAATGTAATACAGTGTTACATGCCAGTCTAGGACACATTATTTCCTTCCATCTCCTTTCCCTGTTAGTAGTTTTCTATGATTATTGGCTTGCCGCCAAGTCCGCATTCAAGGCTAGGCTGCATAACTGATGAAGAAATATGATGCCTTCTGTAACGTAGAGAGTAAAAAGGACACCTGTTTTGTTCTTTGGGGGTATCCTGTTGTTTCTCTGAGGCTGTTTGATATTTTCACAGTCATTTAAGGAGCATTAGGAGTTCAGGAAATCTAACAATTTTAAATGGAGTTTCAGCGCTAGCAATCTGAATGAGCGTAACCTATTTTTTTTTACCCTCTCATTCAAAGCAAAGCTTTTAAACAGCAAACCGTATCAAGGGCACATTAAGGGTATGCATTACAAAGCAAATGCATGATACATAAAATAACTGAAGTTATATTATATGTACTCTATTGTCTCTTAGCAAAGTCAGGAAAGCATTAAAATATTGCATTTAAAGTGCATTGCTAGCCAAAACGTTTTTTTTTCTGTGGCGAATGGTTAGAATACTTTTCAATAATTTGTGGTTGTGTATTATTATTATTATGCAGGATCTATATAGCGTCAGCAGTTTTCACAGCGCTTTACAGTATAAGGAAGACATTACAATACAATTCAAGACAAGATGGTAAGGAGGGCTCAGCCCCTGAGGGCTTACAATCTAAAAGGGAGGGGGAAGTGATACATGAGGAGGTAGCTGTGTGGGGATGAATTGTTTGAGAATGTGATGGTTCAGTGGTTAAGAAGAGGTGGGATATGTCCTGGTTAGGAAGATTCACCGTCTCTAGTTATCCTGGCAACAACCGTTACCTGGACAGAAAGATAACAAAAATCAAAATTTAACAAAATTAGACTGCAAAAATGGCAGGGAAAGGTTTTGGTAACAAATGTCCAAGAAGGGACTTTTTCCTCTTACTTACTGCCATGTCCCCAGGACAGGAAGTTAGGAGAAATCTTACCATTAAGACTCCGCAAAAAAAAAATGGTTTCTGCTGATAGTTCAGAGCCGTACAGCAGCTAAGAAGAATCGGCCAAGTATTGTCAGGATCCACCCCGGCTGCTTAAGTGACAGCTGGATCTGCCTTTTAGAAACAGAGCCAGCTGTGTCCCGCTCCTTCCTCTGTCTGTCCCTCTTTACAGGAGAACTATGGGGTTAGGGCTTTTCCCCATAGTTCTCCTCAGGATAACGGGAGGACACAAACTAGCGTCCTCCCATCACCCTAGGCTCAGTATACCGCGAGCTAAGACACCGCAGCTGAAGCGGATCCCGACAATTATGTCTGGATCCGCCCAGCTGCGTGAGTGACAGCTGGCTCTGCCTATCTAGAGGCAGAGCCAGCTGTACCCTCCCCCGTCCGTTCCGCCAGTCAGCGCTGGAGGATCGGAGCGGGGAGGGGTGGAATCCAGTCCCTCCCCTGTCACGGGAGAGCCGTGACAGGATCGAGAAGTGAGCGAACGCGGTATGTGTTCCCTCACTTCTCGATCTACTGAGCCGACCTGTGACAGTCTCATTGTCACAGGTCAGCAAGAACTATGAGGTGAGTGAAAAGCACTCACCTCATAGTTCTCCTTTAAGCACTAGAGGAACAGAAAATGGAAGGGGGAATCCATGCAGTGGTGGGGGGAGTAACTGGCAGTCACTGCTTTCTGCAGGGTAGAAGACACCGAGAGCTGACTGGCCAGTGGTCTATGATTGCTAAGCTCTTGATCATCATAACTTTATGCATATATTTTACTCTCCCCACACTTCTTCTTTAACCTATATACAGCATAGCTGTAGTTTATGCAGTGTGTAAAGATTCACTATGAAAACATGTCTGGTTTTAGACACTTTTCAAAATTATCATTTGGAAGAGGAAAACAATGAACCTTTTAAAGAGGTTTTTTCAAATTTTAATATTTTATTTTTTTAGAAACTTTTTCATTTTTTTAAATTAATTTTTATTTATTAATTCAATTTTTATTAAATATTTTTATTTTTTACTTTACTTTTAGGGGCTTCGGGGAAATATTGGGGGTCTAAACAGACCCCTGATATTTCCCTTTAAAAATAGAAAAAGAGATTGAGGACACAGAGTCCTCAATCTCTTTTTCTGTGTCCCCTGTTATCAATGAACAGGAATCCTTTATGAGTGTTCCTGTTCATTGATAACATGGTATGTTTACTATAACTACAATTATGAATGAACAGGAGGAGATGTAGATCACTCCCATTCATTCATACACTGTCATAGGAGGCTGCAAGAGGAGAGCCCAGCCTCCTGTGACAGCGCTGGCTGTCTCCGCCCCCACACCGCTCTGCTGCACTGTGATAGGCAGCCGAGCGGTGTGGGAGGAAAGACACCGGCCACTCACAGCGCTCGTCCCGCAGCGCTCGGCCGGCTGTCATTTTCTCTCTGATTCCTTTCATCCCCGCTGGGCACTGCTCTGTGTCCCAGCGGGGATGAAAGGAATCACGGCCGCGCGGACAAAACGGCAGGAAAATGTCACTTTCGTCATTTAGCCGAAAGTGCCATTTTCGGCCGGCGCCCACCCTTCACTTTTCGCCCGGGGCCCGCGCCCCTGCTGCCCCCCGGTTGTTACGCCACTGTACTAATGTGTTATTTTAGTTTGGCAGGACACTTGAACCAGATATCAAGTGAGGGTGATTCACAACTGGGTTTAGAGTTTGGAAGAAAAGCCTATTAATCTACTTTTATTACCTTGCCTAGAAAGCCCAGTACAATTACAACTAAGGATATTCAGATACCAGTTCAGATACCAGTGCCGATACTTGGCATTTTTATGAGAACTACCAGGGTTGCAGCTGGGACCTGGCTCTGGCGCTCCACCACTGTCCTGAAATCATTAGTCTGTATTGTTTTAGAAAAACTGTCACATGACAATAAACAAAAATGTATCAGGACTTGTATCTGTGAGTACTTGGGCAAGTATCAGTACTTGTTCTTTGAAAACTGGTATCTGTGTATCTCTTATATATATTTATAAAAACGAATCATACAATAAAACAGAGATGTACAAATCCCAGGAGCTCCGTGTGCTCCTTACACATGACAGCTGCCTCCTAACGTTTTAATTTTTCTCTAGTCTAGTCTTGGAGCTGGAAAAGTATCTGTACTTGTACCGAGTACGTTACTTGCTATCTGAACATGCCTAATTACAACTATACAAAGAGTTACTATGTGTCAACTTCACGAAACAGAAAACTCAATTTATATTATTTGAGGTGTGTAGTCTGCGTGTGAAGATTGTGCAGCAAAATTACAGTAGTCTGGAAGGGAACATCATTATAATCCCTGCATGAGGATGGCCACATGTACTCTGTAAAGCAATGCATATACATGTCAGCACTATACAAAATGTGAAACAAGTAACACCCCTCCTGCTACAGCCATAAAGCTGTCCTGCTTTTGCAACATAAGGAATAGCTGGAGAAAATATGATGAGCACATTTCTGGAAAATACTAAGAACACATTGTTTTTGTATATTTTACAACTCAATTGTTTTCTATTGCCTCTGTAACCAAAGTGGCATAATGCCAATAGATTTATGACCTGTGTAAATAATATCTTTGTCAGTTTGTGTGTCATATTTTGGTTCTATTGTTTCTTTTCAGTTATAATTGTAATTTCTTTCCTTACAGAGATGACTGCACATGTCAATGCCACTTCAGGAAGCAGCAGTGCAAATAAAGCACCAATTAGTAAGTCTTCACATGTCCTTCTCCACCACATTATGCAGGGCAACACGATTCCTCTTGGTTATCCTCAAGGCATTGATGTTCATGAATGTTAATGGAAGGGTTTTTTTTCCTTAAGAGAATTGTTAGTTTCCCTAACTAAATTTCAGCTTACGAGCCCTGAGGATTCTATCTACTTGATTGTGTTGCTCTGTTTTGTAGAGAGTATACATTTTGTTTGAGTGTAAGCTTTCTGTATCCAGATTCAATTTATTTGGAAAAAAATAATAGAACAAAACAATAAGCTCATTCATGTACAGTATGTAGTAGCAACTCAATGCAACTTATAAAAAGGTCATGAAGGAGTCTCCACTTTCAGCAAAACTAGCATGACCCTCACTTTTCTTTAGGATACAGTATTTGGCTGACTGAATGCTGACAAGTGAGTTACAATGGTTTTAATGCTGAACCATTGCAAATGACGGTTGTGATTTAAGTACCACATTTTACCCGCAGGTCATGCTGTAGTTAAACTTTAAAGGATATCTCCAGATAAAAAAATAACTATCTCCTGTGTAAAGGACCTTTACCAGAAAGATAAAGGAAATATTAAAATATGTATGTTGAGTAATTTTAAAAGACCGTGTGCCATCAAGCCAAAGAGGCATGCACAGGACTTGCTTTCAGAGGCACTAAGTGAAGTTAATGGTGTTGTGACTTGCAGGATCAGCAAGAACTGTTTGAGCATGTGGAGAATGTAAGTCAGAGCCATAAGGTTAAAGAGCAATGTTGTGCCAATGCTCCTGTAAGGTGCCAGTTAAGCAATCTGTTATTGACACATCTGTTGCCTTGAGGGTGATACCTCAACAGAGGGAGAGGTTTTTCAAAAGAGGAACAGCGAAACAGATTATGAGACATGTTGGCTATCAGATTGCAGCTCAGTTCATAAATTCCCCCTATGCTGATTAGAATTAGCAGTGTTTCCATACAAAGCATGCCATGACTGCTTACTAATTGGTGCTTTTGAGTGGACATCTCTCAAATCTTTACCTGTGTTAGATCTCTGCATGACTTTTGCAGTTGACTGCTTGGGACTGCAGACACACAGGTCACAAATACATGCAAAACCAACCAAAAAATCCTCTCAACTGTGAGACAGCTGAATTTGCACCCAACATGCACTTGATTCTTCAGGTAACTTGTTTGATAAACCTTTGTCTGAGTTTTCTAAGACTCTTTGCGCAAATATTTCTTCTGCCTGGTTTTCCTTTAAAAAATCTGTAATAAATCCTGTCACACATACTGTGCCCGTGTACAGGTCTTGTATACATTTTTTGCCACATACTATGTCTGGAACCCCACAGCTACTTCACCTCTCCTATTTAGAATTCTGGTAGAAGTAAGAGCAGGAAAACACCCATTGGAATGCGGAAATAACAGTTGCCCTTTAATAAGTGTTCAATAATGAGCGATAAGGGAACAAAATATCCAGTGGCTTCAGTGACAAATACATTCTGGCTCTGATGGAACATTTATTTTGTTTAAGCATTAAATTGTTGTTGAAAGTAAAGCATTTCATAGATCATTCAAGTTGGAAATAAAATTCCCATTTTGGTGTTTTTCGCGATAGTTATGTGAACACTAAGATCATGAATTTCTTGGAAAAACCGTTAAAAGATTTGACCACATATAGCCAGCTTAAATGTTAATGATGGGTTTATATATAATGCTCCATTTCTTACTGTATATTTAGCTGAGCCACTGAAGAAAATTATAGCTGTATTAAGCTTCTTCTTTATAGAAATAGATCTCTTGCTTGTTGTTATCACCAAGTAATTCCACTTTCTTCAGTTTCCCCAGATCCAATTACTTTTTAAGCCATGCTCATCCTCATCATTCTCCGACTTATGTCTGTTCCTCTGGTCAATGGAGCAGATCGATATCACACATGGACAAGAATTAATGAGTTTCTCTATTCAGGGAAAAGTTACAGAAAGTTTCTGGTCCTTCCAGTGTTCTCAATACAAAGTAGACAATAGATTTTCTTACCCATAACCATTTCCCAGATTAATTAATGGTGTTTCTAGCGCTGTCGATAAAAAGTCATTACATCCTGTGGCTGTAGCTTTG